CTACTATTGTGGGCAAGAATCCCGTAGAAGGAATGGAGTGGCCCTCATAGTCAACAAAAGAGTGGGAAAAGCTGTAATGGGATACAATCTCAAAAATGATAGAATGATGTCAATACAAATCAAAGGCAGACCTTTCAACATCACAATAATCCAAGTTTATGCACCAACCACCACTGCTGAGGAGACTGAAATTGAACAGTTTTATGAAGATTTACAACACCTTCTAGAACTGACACCGAAGAAAGATGAGATGGCTGGACAGTGTCTGCGAAGCAACCAACATGAATTTGACACAACTCTGGGAGGCAGTAGAAGATAGGAGGGCCTGGCGTGCTCTGGTCCATGGGGTCACGAAGAGTCGGACACGACTAAACGACGACGAGTGGCAGAAGGCAGAATAGCAGCTTCCCATTAGTTTCTATGGACAGAAAAGAGCAGATACAGATTAAATGGTTTTCAGTGCATTCCTATGGGAAATGCAGATTCGACCTAAGAACTTTTCGACCTAAGAACCACCTTCCAATACGGATTAAGTTCGTAAGTCGAGACCCCACTGTAACTTTTTTGATGTATCATTAACTTTTTCTAACACACTGTCAAGATTATGGCTGGGACAGATAGGACCACACTAACTACAACCGTATTTTTGCTGTATTCTACCATCTTAATTCAGAATGTGTTGTTGATCAACATTAAAGCTGTGGTACCAAGTTAAATTTTAGTTCACAGTCAGCTAAGATCCTTTAAACACAGTAGCTCATACATCTGAACTAATATTGCTGTGTCAAAATGGAGTAAAGCATAGACAGGTTGTACAATATAATATTTGTTAATGCTTGCTTTCCCCCTTTTTTTCTGTAGGTTCAAACTCGAAGTGCTGATGAACCTATGACAACATTTGTTGTGTGTAATGAATGTGGGAACAGATGGAAGGTAAAAAGACTAGTCATGATTATGTTTTATATAGACTGCCTTGTAATGCAGCTTTACTATATTATCTACTTAGAGTGTGTTTTTGTCATATCATATGCTTGTTTATGTACTGCAGCCAATATATGAAAAAAAAATAAAACTGGGGCATCAGAACATTGATCAGTGACATGTTGGCTGAATACAGTTGAATATTTCATAATAGTTTATCAAGGGAGGAGGGGAATAGCAGGGGCAATATTATGACTTCATACTCTGCTTAAGGGCTTCCTAGAAGCATCTACCTGACCTATTTTGGAAAATGGATGCAATAGTGCATTGAAAAGGTCATTATTTATGAGAAATCATTAAGTGAGCTGATGTTCTCCTTTTCAATACCACAAACAGGATTTAGTACGACAGTAAAGCCATTTGTCAGAAACACTATGCTGGAATCTAGTGGTTCCACATCTGATTGTAAAATCATTATCTGTAACTTCACAAAAGCAGAAATCAGTACACCCTGCAGAATTTTTATTTTTTAAAAACATCCTAATTAGATGATTAAAGTTAGAAGGAGTATTGAGAATTCTGCTTGATTCTTAACAACTGATGAAAGATGTATGTGGAAAATAAGTAGAATATCTTCATTTGTTTTTGCTTGCAACTGAGTTAAAACTTTGCTATATGTATATCTCATAAATATTTCTTTTCTTTTGACAGTTCTGCTAGAAGAAGACATTGTTAAATCTGGACCAGTATGAAAGAGGATTTTATAATTAGCTTTAAGAACTAGGTCAAGCATCTAGCTTCCTGCAAAAATGTTTTCTTTTTCTCCTTGCCCTTTTAAACAGTCATCTCTGAAGTTAGATTTTGTTTTTGACATGCACATCACTGTAGTTAAATCAGTAGAGCCAGGATGCTCAGTTGTATGGTGTAATTTCATTTCCCCCCCACTCCATTTTTATAAGGAAGTCTACATTAAACTTTTATCAATGACATTTGGTAACTGCTTTTTTTTCTTTATGAACAAAGAGTTGTATATCTCGTATTTGGCATATCTGACTGAAACATTTTCTTGTACAATGAAGTTCACAGAATACTCCTTTTTAACCATTTTGGTGTGCATTGGCCAATGGTTTTCCTTTGTTCTTAATAAAATACTTTAAATGTGGATAGCCAACTTGTATAAACCATTTCTGACTGGCTTTGGCTGGCTTTGGCAGATCTATGCTTTGTAAGATGCACAACTTCCTATTACATTATCAAACTTGTTTTTCAAAACATGCTTTGATCTTTCCAACTTATTGTATAGTTTATGTATAATTATCCTGTCCTTCTAGAAAAAATGTCCTAAAAGATTGTTTGCCTTACTCTTTCTACTTTCCTTGCTTCCTTTCTCTTCTTTACACCATAATTCATTGTGGATAGTGTAAATGGAAACAATGGTATGGTAGCTGAAGATTTGATGCTTTACCAATTTATATAGATATCAGGCCGTATGAATTCTTTAATGACCAGCACTTTTTTCATGTAGAATCATTGATTTCTAAACACGAGAGGTCAGAAATAAAATTATGTTGGTTTTTTACCACCTGTTTTGGTGAAGCTTTGTCAGAATGTTTCTCAGACAATGGTCAGAAACCTGTTAATTATGCCTACTGGCATAAGTGTATCAGTCTGAATTTCAGCAGTAAATTGTCTCAGGTAAACAAATTGGGTAGAAAAATTTGCTATCTTGTACCAGCTTTGTAACTCTGTGCAATAGCAAATGCTTTCACTGACTTCTTAATCTACGGCAGTTGGTCACATGAATACGTAATGGGATTCCAGCCTTTGCTTTTAAAGACTAAAAAACAATACTGAAGAAATCATAATAGTTTACCACTTATATATATTTGGCCATATTGTGCAAATCTATTCCTGTTTACATTGGAAATAACTCTCTTGTGTTCCACATGTGAAGATCTTTTCCAAGCCTTTTCTGAGCCAGGCCTTCAAATCATAAAGGCTTGAACTTGAATTGACACTTAAGAAATTATTCTAGATTATTAATAATCGATTTACCACCACCACCACCCCTTTTTGGGGTGCTCTGTGAATGTACGGTGTGCCCAAGGCTACATAGGCAGGCTTTTTTTCCTGAGAGACAGTGGAGAATTAAATGCCCAATTTCTGCTTGGCAGCTAAGCACTCAGCTCACTGAACTATCCATCTGGACAAATGTAACTACAGATCATAATATCTGGTGTTCCCTTAGAATCTTAGCTGAAACTTTGTGTTGCTATAAGCCACAAGCACTAGCATATAGCCAGGGTGTTCTGTTACTTGTATATGTACCCAGTTATAGAGCATTGTGAGAAAACACATATATCAGGTTTTGGCATATTTCACTACTGCAAGCCAAGTTCCTGTGCATCTGATTCCAATAATAAATCTGTATTTATGGCTTCAGAAGATACATGGACAGATTGGATTCATTTTTGTTTTAAAGGATTCATGAGCCTTTAAGGGAGATCCAGTACCTTCCATTGAATGGAACAATTTGTGTAAGTTTTTGTAGCTGTATGAGATAATTAGATATATTAGGTGCACATATGTGGGTTCATAGAATCATGGAATAGTGAAGTTGTTAGGGGCCTATGAGGCCATCAAGTCAAACCCCATGCTTTATGCAGGAATACAAGTCAAAAGATATCTGCTAGGTGGTTGTCTAAGTTTCTCTTGAATACCTCCAGTGTTGGAGCACTTACCACCTTGCAGCATGAAGCTTGCCCTCTGTGATGCAAAACTTGGTTTAGATTTTGAGGGCATGTCAAACTAGGTAAAATCCATCTGAAAAAAAGGTTGTAGCATATAACTAACCATATTGACATTTGTAGGACTTTTGAGGCCGTAACTAGAATTTTACCCAGATTAGCAAGCTTAATGCAAAAAGTCTGCTTAGTTTTTTCTATCTTCTCCCTATTCTAAGTTCAAGATATACAGTAGTTATATTTCAGTAATATCAAGTTCAGTGCATTTTGTAGACATTGGTGTTGTCTAGAAATGTTTTTACTGCATTGTAACTTTTACTAATGAAGCCAAAAATTCAAGAACAATGAATGTACACACCTGAAGTTAGGATCAATTGATTGTCCTAGTTGGAAATGTCCATACAATTTTAATCATGTCTACTGAAAAAGAGTATGTGAATAGGGTGAATGTTCTCTGGAACTGCTTGATATATAAAGGGCAGACCTCTAACTGATAATGTCAAGGGAATAGAATACAACAAGTGGCTAATGGGTATCTTGCTGCTTGATAAATGCCAAGCCTGATTTAGTAATGACTTTCATTCCCCCAACCCTGGGGTACATTGATTCTGTAACAGGAAACTTGTCTTGTGATGGTATATATGAATCTGCATGCAAAGAGATGGGTAAAAATTCTCAGAGGGACTTGTTTAATAGCAAATTTGTTAGAAGAGACAGCAGTAGAACTTTTCCAATGATCATGTTTTATTTGCTGTTTCCTTTAGCCTCCAGTCATGTCCATTCTTACTGCACATACTAGAAGCTTGTGCCCAGGACTTCATCCTTTGAAGACCTATTTAATGTGCTTACTGTTACATGGTTCTTCAATATAATGGAGACAAAATAAATACCGGTACTTAACACAATATACTAACTTTGCAGCAGTTATAAAGAATGTTACTGTGCTTACAGGTAGGAAGAATGGGAATGGCTTTCTAAGATGTAGCAACTCTGTAGCTGAGAAGGAATGAAGGTACAGAGGAAATAACGTCATATAGAATCAGACCATTGCACCATCTAGCCCAATATTCTCCACTTTGACTGGCAGCAGCTTTTTGGGATTTTACACAGGATCCTTGCCTTGCCTTATCTTGTGAAGAGATCCCTGGTATTAATTGATGGTTTCTCATCCTATTTCTACTTACCGTAATTTCTGAAATCTGGCATGATTAGTGTGTTCAGAGTAATATGCTTGGACGTGGATTCAACTTCAAGGTCAAATTTAAATGTGATTCCAACTACGTATGTTGCTTTCTCAGTGGCATCACATAAATATACACTGCAGTATAACCAAGGAGGTAATGATAAGTGTATTTACATTGAAGCTGCACTCAATTCAGGTCATGGTGACTTGAGCAGTGCTTGGTGGGTGCAATTCTTGCTAGTTTCCCACCCACTTATCAGTGCATTATGGGAGGATGCTTTTTTTTTTTTTTTTTTTTTTTTTCCTAAACCTGTGGTGCAGTTGCACATCCACAGATGGGAAAGACCAAAAATGTTAGTCAGCAGGGGCAATGATGATGGAAGACAGCTGACTGGAAATAAATTAATAAACAAAGGCTGCATTAGAGCAGACAGAATCTTTATTGCTTAATCCAGAGACCATAGCAAATACATTATATTAGTACAATTACACACCAATAATTTCTATTATTTGGACTAGAAAAGTGTGTGTTCTGTTCCCACAATTATTGTTGTGGGATGTATTGGAGTTTCAAATCTAAAATGCAGTTCTACACCAAGAGGATCTTTCATCTTCAGGAAAGAAAGATACCAGTTTCCTGATTGCTTAGGAATTGTTGCTTGCCTTCTAGTAAACTTTGATTTAGTTTGGAGATTCTAGAAGCAAGTATTCTGCACCCAGTGCCCTTTCTTGCACTGTTGTCCATGTCCTTTTCATCTGTTCCCTATTTCTGTGACATAGGCACATTGCTATGCCATTTTAAATTTAAGTGCACTTAATTAAATTTCCAAGCATCCTGTTGCTAATCTATAATATTGTGAATGTACAAAACTGTTTCTATTCAGATAATACATTTTATTTTCTTTATTACAGAATGTGTGGTTCATATTTTCAGCTTATTCCTGCTTTTCAGTGTGCATGCTCAGATGGCATAGGAAGCACTAATTTTCACATCTTTCATTAAGTGTTCCTTTAGTTTTGCAAAACCAGGGCATTTAAATGAGAGCCGCAATCCCTGGCCATAAGCTCCACTGAACTATAGGCCTTATTTATATCTGAGTAAACATGCTTGAAATTGATGTGTAGTTTTCATAAATACGCCAAATGTTACAATTGTATATGTTCAGTTATACATGATGTATTTTTATTATTAACATTTAAAATAAGTTTAGATTATATTGCACAAATGTCAGTGTTTCCCTTTTTTATAAAAACAATGTGGAGGAAAATATGGACATTTGATGTATTTCAATATTAGTAACTTTAGAGTGTTCTTTTTTCCTCATATCTTTTGTGTGACTGAATATATTCCATTGTTATAGTAAAATGGATATGGGGTAGTGAGGAACCCTTACCTGTTGCAAATGCCTAACTTTATTTCTGTAGTAAAGTGCTTACAAATACTATTATTTACAAAATAGGTTGAATGAATGTTTGGTCACAGGCAAGGCATTACTGACTCTATCAACTTTTTTCCAAGTTGTCTCCCTTGGTACTGTGTTATGACAGAACTTGTTATTTATAACTTTTTAATGGGTTAACATGGAAAAAGGAAAACATGTCTTCACTATTTTGCATTGTGCAATTAGTGTGTATTTCAGCGTTCTCCCAGTGGGGAGGAGTCTTTGTTAACGTTTTTGTTTTGCAGTAACCGGGTAAGAATACCAATAATAAAATAAAAATAATGGGGAAAATCGTAGATATCTAACAGAACAATCTCTGCCATTTCATTTTAAGGGTGCAGTTGGCTAATAGTGGTTCCCAACGCAGGTGTTCTTGGACTGCAACTCCCAGAAGCCTTCACCCCAGCTGTGCTGTCCAGGGTTTCTGGGAGTTGCAGTCCAAGAACCCTTGGTGTACCCAAGGTGGGGAATCACTGGAATAACAATCCAAGACAAGATCTGTTCTTTTTTTTAAAAAAGTTTAACATCCTGGGGGTTTGAAGACTTTCACTCCCTGATGTGTTTTAATTTTTGTAAGCCGCCCCAAATAGACGTTGTCTAGAGGGGCGGGGTAAAAAAATGAATAAATAAGTGAATGAATGAATGAATGAATGAATGAATGAATGAATGAATGATATTCCTCTACTCCAGTCCCAGCCAATGAGGAAAACCTACAGGTTATTTTTTTATTTTAACAAACAACAAAACCCAGAAGATCTAGTAATCTCCTTTTTTGTCTACTTTCACTATTAAACAACCTTGATTTAAAGACTATTGAGATCACTCTATTAAAGCATTTAGAGTGTGTCTGTAATGTTATATGGAGTATATTGATTGCTTTTAAAATATAGGACATCCTGAGCATTTAGTATTATCTTATTGAGTCAAACATACAGAGTTGAAATAATCTGTTGCAAAATGGATCAGGCCAACTTTCCCTGTAGAGCTGTGATATAATAGTTTGTTGTGAAGTCAATTCTAAGTAGGGATTTATTTATTTTTTTGAGGGTACTGAGTGTAGGGACACCTCAGACATGGTTTACCATTCCCCCCTTCTTGGGACACTCTGGAACTGTGTAGGTTGCCCAAGGCCACAGAGGCTCGCTGTTCTGGGATGCAGAGCAGGGAGTTGAACTCTCCTACCTCCACTGCCAGATCCTAAACCACGGAGTTACCCAGCCATCAATAGCTGTGATGCACTCTTTTTTCTCTGTGTTCCAATAAAGTTTAAATGTAAGATTAAAACGTGAAGGAACATAGAGAAAAAATAATAGTACAGGTCTTTCACCAAGAACGTACTGTCTGATACAGTACCTTCACACCATTGCAATCTGTATCGGATTAGAATATCACTACAAACATTGATACGGGAGGCTGATGGAAAATAAGTCTTGTCATTTTTATTAACACAATAAATAAAAGGAAACCATCTATTGAAAAAAAATCTTGGGAGTATGGTTGTTTAAGTAATCTGATCTGGTGAGTTACCGTATTCCCCCCCCCAAAAAATTAGGGCATTATGTCATATTCTATTTCTCCATGTAAAATTTAATTACAAATTGCTTTCTAGTTTCCCTTCTATATGTCCACTACATGTGAAAGTACATACAGTTATTCCTACATTTCATCCCACAGCAGAAGCTTAATAGACTGCTCCTTAAATTTGGAGGAGATTAAGAGGAGCCTTGTTCCATAGAGCCTGCCATTTTTCATCAGATATGGTCATTTCCAGGTCACTTTCCCAATCTATTTTAGGATCTAATTTACAGCCATAGCGGAATGGATTCAAATAGTATTTCATATAATTTTGAAGCCAGTCCCTGCTGGTTATTTTCTGAGGCTAGTAGCATACTTTAAATGCTGTGACACATTCGCTAAGTCCGTTTTTATACTTGTCTGTTTTTCCCCTCAAATGGGTGCTTTGTCTTCTGAAAATCAAAATAAATATGGATGTCTGACTGTTTTGGTCCCAAGAGCTGCGTATGATACTGATTTAGGGCCCACAGTCATGTATCCCAGTGACTGTCTTTCCATTCCCTTCCTGAGGAATTCTGCTGGCAGTAGTGATGAAAGAGCAAAGGGAATAAAATTAAAGGAAAATTCACAAGATGGAGAGGTGCCCATGAGGGTTGCACTAAAAAAGTACAGTGGTGCCCCGCATAGCGGCGTTAATCCGTTCCGGATTAATCGTCGCTATGCAAAAACATCGCTAAACGGATCGAAAAACCCCCTAGGAACGCATTAAACTTAGTTTAATGCGTTCCTATGGGGCCCAAACTCACCGTTCAGCGAAGTTCCTCCATAGCGCCTCCATTTTTGCACCCTCGGTAAGCGAGGGCAGGGCGCGAAAACACTTGCGGTGTCCATTTTGGAACTGCCGATCAGCTGTTGTAAAACACCGCAATGCGAAGATCAGTAAGCGAAACGCTTACCGATCATCACAATGCGAGTTTTTGCCTATCTAAACGTCGCAATGCAATCGCTTTTGCGATTGCAAAAGCGACATCGCTATGCAGATTTGTCGTTAAACGGTGCGCTCGTTAAGCGAGGCACCACTGTATTATAGATTGTGCATCCCCTTTTTCAAAGTTGCATCTGTACTAAGAATGATGGTGTACCATGACCAAGCAAAATTATGTTCTGAAGCACATTGTAACAATACCACATCATCATGTCCAAAGTTCTTTTAAAGGTTAGACCTTGAGTGCTGTTACTTTGAAATTGAGGCTTACCCTGATAAGACAGCACTTGAATCTAGAACTATAGACTCTGGGCTAGTCTTTGTGAACAAGGCTTGCTGTCTCTACTAAAGGATTATGTGCTTCCTCCAATTTGGAAATACTTTATAGGTTTGATACTGAACCTTGTGACATGCAGAAATTAATTCCTCTTTATTTGAAGGTGTGATAAATGTGGATTAGAAATAAATTTAATGCTGCCCTATGAAGGATTTTTCCCATTGAGAGTTTTCACAATGTACATATTTCAAAATACATTTAGGATTTTTTTAAAAAATCTCGACTGCTAAACACAGAATATATATTAATATCCTCAAAAGAGATGTACTGAAAATACAGTTATGTCCCTCTCTTGATTAAAGATGCTGTTCAAAATGTCTTGGGGTTATGCCTTTAAAAATATACAGAATAATATTATGAATGTGGAACCATAATTGTAAGATAACAGAATGAAAAGAACTGAAACATGTGTTTTGTGCTTTATTTAAAATAGCAAATGTCAACTCTTCTCCTAACTAAAGTGCATTAATATTTTCTAGAAACTTAATAATGCAACTCTTCAAATTCCACATATTCTAGTAATAAAATAACACTTTATAGGTGATAGCACTCAAATCAGCTCCTTTCATTTGTTTATGTTTGAAACATGTTAGTTTGTTTTTGATTTGAAGTCAGTAATGAATAGTTTGTTTTTGATTTGAAGTCAATAATGAAAAGGTTATTCAAATCCAATGTGATTTAATATTTCTTGAAATCAGAGAGAGATTGAGAAACCCCCATACAAATTTTAGGTAAAAGAAAAACTTCTTTAAGGTTGATTTCCAGAAACACACTAATAAGTCTGAGTTATTAGGGCATAAGGAGGATAGGAGAGGGAGAAGTGACGAATTGCTAATAAGGAAACATGACCCAGAAGGCATGTGAGCATGCAGAACTTTATCATGTGGCTAGTTGGATACTGGACTATGTTCCTTGAGAGCAGTTCAGACACATGGTAGTACTGAAGACAAACCTGCACATCAAATTGAGCCTGGTCACGGCAATTGAAGTAATACAGTCTTTCAGCACATAGGCTTCTATATGAATTCTGGGGAAAGAGTCAAGTTCCACTCTCCCCCTCAAAATGTATCATTTATTTTTAATTAGTTTTAAGCATTTCAAAAACTCTGCCTATATCTCTGCCTTTTAGTGTGTCTTTTTGCTAGCATCTTAGGGGTTTCTTTTCTCCATGCTCTATGTCACCAAGTCGCAGTATAACTCAGTCAAAAGCTGGAAATAGTGATTCTTTAAATCTTTCCATGTTGGAACACTTTGAAACAGTATTAAAATATGTAATATGTATTGAGTTATTTTCAATTAATGAAAATGGCTGAATCTATCCTAAATTCCATGTTAATAGACAGCCCAGCATTTCATTTGTGTTATGTGTTACGGTTGTACAATAAATATATTTAATATAGTCTATGCTTCAGCAGATCTTTGAGAGAGAGACTCAACTAAGTCCTTATATATTGCAGAGTTCATAAATCGAGGGTAGGAGTCTCTGTGCATCAATGTGTAAATCTGGAGTTGTGCATCATCAAAACTATGTTGATTTGGTTCCAGCATGTTTCGGTTGATAACTTCTCGCACCCTGGAGTCCAAGCTGACCTGTGAACAGAGAAATCATTTAATAATAGCACACAACAGCATACTTTTAAAAAAAACTCTTATAAGCCATGGAAAAGAATGCATGTGGTCATAGTGCAAGTGAAGGGCATTCCGTTTTTGAAACAAAGCTCTTCTCATTATTTTTCAGAGCCTTTGACGATGATGTGTTCCTGTCTCACCCACCTTTTATTTAACCTAATAATTGTTTTTATAAACCACATTAAATGTTCTCACAGAAGGGAGGCAGTGGAATTAAATCAGTTTGAAATAATATTTTAACTGTGTGTATAGCCATCTATAGCTATACAAAGGTTCCAGCAAGGGACTAGATAAACCTCCAGCCTAGAGCTAAGATGAGCCTCTCTGATTGCAAAATATGTCAGATATTTTCCTTCTGGCAGGATCTGCTCCATAATTTCCCAATCTTTAGGAACGGCTTTTCAAGAGATGAAGAAACGTGCCCTAAAAAGTCCCTTAGTGGGAGAGTGGATGGATGAACGGATATATTATAACAGATGTGGATTGGCTTCTGAAGCTTTCAAATCCTTGCAAGTCAGAATTGTTAACACCAGCATGCTTAGATTTCATGTAATCATTTCATATCACTGATTGCAGCATAGTCATGCTTTCACAGTGTAGTTGTGCAAGACTAGTTCTGATCTCCTTGCCCAGTAGGATTTAAATTGATGTCACATCTCCAAAACAGCAAAACCATCCCAAAAACACACACAAACAAAAACTAATCCAAAAGAAACATTACAGAATACCAATTAAAAAACTTTAATAACCACTTTAATAACCACATTCTTCCTCTTAATAATACAATCAAGAAACAAATACAGTGGTGTCTCGCTTAACGATGTTAATTGGTTCCCCAAAAAACACTGCTATGGGAAAACATTGCTAAGCGAAACACCATTTCCCATAGGAATGCATTGAAATCCGGATAATCCGTTCCAATAGAACATCCTTAAGCGAAAATTGCCATAGGAAACATCGCTAAGCGAAACGCGGTTCCCCCATTGGAATGCATTGAATAGGATTCAATGCATTTCAATGGTTTTGACAGGTCCGTTTTCGCTATTTTTAAAGTGTCTTAAAATGTTCAAGAACTGTTTTAAATGCTTGGAATCGTCATAGCACCTTGTAAAACCTTTGCAGACTTAATTTGGCTTTGTTCTGACTCTTCGTTAATTTTTGGTGAATCCCCCCCCCCATTGGAATGCATTGAACTGTAGGCTTGACAGCGATCCCAAGCATTTTAAACAGTTTTTGAACATTTTAAGACACACTTAAAATAGTGAAAACGGACATCGCTAAGTGAAACAGGGGGACCTAAACTGTCATTGCTAAGCGAGGCAAGGTCCCAAACATCGCTATGCGAAATTTCCCCATAGGAAACATCGCTAAACGGAGCGCAAAATCGCTCCAAAAACCTCATAGCTAAGCGAATACATCGCTAAACGAGGCAATCGCTAAGCAAGGCACCACTGTATCTGAGATCATTCTTTCACTTCAGATCCATGGTTTGGTCATTGCAGAGTTACAGCTATTACAAAATGTTACACACCTCTTTTGGAGAAAGGATGGAAATATAATCTTCATATATTAGCCTTGCTTTCTCTTCAATGACACTCTTGTTGGATTCTCGCTTTAGGTCCTCACAGGCCATCCAGAAAAGCATGTTCTCTTCACTGAACTCTGTCCGAAGGAACTCCCTGAAAGCATTTCTGCCTGCTGGTGTTCTCATCATTTTGTCAAAGGACTGGGCCCAAGCGTTCACTTCTTCAAGAGTAGGAGTGGAGCTTTAAGAAAAGGGAGAAGCACAAAGGCAGGAAATTAAGCATATGAGAAGAGAATTCTAGGTGGATCAAAGAAGTGGAGAGGTTATGTGTACCCTGCCACAAGTCTAGTATTGCAAACATCTCAGTTGTAAGGAGAAATATCCATCTCATGCACTAGTCGAAAACTAAAGAAAACAGGGCAGTGGCAAACCTTTGTCACCAACAAGAAGTACAGATGATCCGCTTTTCAACCTGTAACCAAAATGATAGGTTTTGGTTACAGGTTGAATGTCCTCTAGTACAGTGAACAATCTGCATTCATCCATTCATTCATTTAAAATATTTTACCCCACCTTTCTCAACAAAAAGGAACCAAGGCGGCTTATATCATTAAAAGACAATATTGAAAAGCTAAAAAACAGTAAATATATAAATATTAAAAAGTATAAAACAAATGTGACACTAAAAGTGTTTTTTTTTAAAAAATCAACAATAAAACAGATTCAAAGTAACAAGGCATAACACTCCATTTAAAACCCAACTCGGATTGCCAGTCACTAAGAGAAAGCCTGTATGAAGAAAAAGATTTTTGTCTGCTTCTAGAAGGACAGCAAAGATGGAGCCAATTTGATCTCCTGTGGAAGGGAGTTCCAGAGTCTGGGTACAGCAACAGAGAAGGCCCTCTCCCGTGTCCTTGCTAAGTGCATCTGTGAAGGTGGTGAGACCAGCAGAAAAGTTTTCCTGATTCTCTTAAAACCCATGCAGCCTAATAAAGGGGCACATGGTCATTGAGACAGCTTGGATCCAAATCATTTATGTCTTTATAGGTTAATATCATGGGGACGTGGTGGCGCTGCGGGTTAAACCGCTGAAACCTCTGTGCTGCAAGGTCAGAAGACCTGCAGTCGTAAGATCGAATCCATGTGACGGAGTGAGCCCTCGTTGCTTCTCCCAGCTCCCACCAATCTAGTGGGTTGAAAGCATGCAAAATGCAAAAATGCGAGTAGATAAATAGGTACTACATCAGTGGGAAGGTAAACAGTGTTCCATGTCTAGTCACGCTGGCCACGTGACCACAAAGGATTGTCTGCAGAGAAACGCTAGCTCTGGGTTGGAAACGGAGATGAGCACCGCCCCCTAGAGTTGGACACGACTGGACAAAATGTCAAGGGGAGCCTTTACCTTTACTAAGGTTAATACCAGCACTTTGAATTGTGCCCAGAAATGAACAGGCAGCCAGTAAAGGGGTTATGTGATCCTTGTAACCAGCCTTAGTTAACAATCTGGCCGCAGCATTTTGGAACCACTTCTGAACCTTTTCCAAAGCCAGACCCACATAGAGTGCATTATAGTAATCCACTGTTCCCAGATCAGACCTCTCCAGGAAGGGGCACAGCTGGGGCACTAGTTTTAATTGTGCAAATACACTCCTGGCCACTACCAAAACCTGGGCATCCAGGCTCAGAGATGAATTATCTGTAATAACTCTGTGTGTGTGTGTGCATGCGTGTGTGTGTGTGTGTGTGTGTGTACACGTGTGTGTGCCAACATGCATATATATGTGTGCACACAGGTATGTGTTTTGTGTGCTGTTGAGTTGCATATGACTTATAGTGACCCTAATATGGTCTTTTAAGGTATACATTTATGCAATACATATAGCAATATGTTGATTAAGTGGAGAACCTTGAGAACAAACAGAAATAATTATCACACTTCCATATTTCATCCAATACATTGGAGCTGGACGACAGCTAAAAGTGCCACATCAGATCTCCAGCCGTAGGGCTGTATATGGTCAGATAATACATATCAAGTAAGGTGTTTTTCTCCTCTTAATTTCCAAATTTCTTTATTTATTTGATTTTATTCTGCCATTTTAAAATAGGGAAAGAACCCATAAAAACTTTTATTATTAAAAATACAAATAAGCTAGCAATAATATTAAAGCATGACTAAATTAAAAACCATTTAAAACATATTTGTATGTTATGACTTATTTCCTAGCTTCTGGTTCTGCAGAAAGGTTTTGGACTGAAGGTGGGGTATGTGATCAATCATTTATCTTTCATCACCTAATATTATATGACTATTGTGTATCTCTGTTTGGTTTTTAATTTTTATTAAATACAGTGGGGTCTTGACTTGAGAACTTAATCCGTATTGGAAGGCAGTTCTCAAGTCAAACAGTTCTCAGGTCAAATCTGCATTTCCCATAGGAATGCATTGAAAACCATTTGATCCGTATCTGCTCTTTTCCGTCCATAGAAACTAATGGGAAGCTGCTATTCCGCCTTCGACCACTACAGGGGGATATTTTGTTTCTTTTTTTCTTAGGTCAAGAAAGGTTCAGGGAAGGCAGGGAAAATACAGTCCAGGCAGTACCAGGCAGTCCGAAGACTGTCTCCCAATCCACTCTCTAAACGCTGGGAGGAGTGAGGAAGCAGACAGGCACCCTTTTCACTGGCCAACAGTTAACTGAAAGTTCACATTTTGCACTTTCCCTGCCTCCCTCGTGGGTTTTTTTCAGTTCTTAACTCAAATCTAAGTATGTAAGTCAAGTCAATATTTTCCTATGAGAGTGGTTCTTAAGTCAAAATGTTCTTAACTCAAGTCGTTCTTAAGTCAAGACCCCACTGTATATACATTCTTATATTTTATGCCCTTCTTCCCTCTGACCCTCCCATTCCCATTCCCATGGCAAAGTCATATCAAATTTCTTATAAATCTTTTCGGGGAAAATTATAAATATCTTCCAAGTATAATTTCTGTATACATCAGGGAGTCCCTTGTTATCCATTCTATTCATATAAACAATAAAAGGATGCCAGTGAGTTCCAAAAGAGTCAAAGTGTTTTATCCCTTTAACTGTATGCAATTTGGTGTTTAATTTTTCTCACAGTGCTACCTGCCATACTCTTGAGTACCATACTGCAATTGATACTCCTTTCGCTATGGTCTGTTTTGCTGCAGTCAAAAGATGGCCTATTAAGGTTTTGTTAAAAAATGGTTTCATTTTTCCCCAGAAAAAGAGTAAGAAGTGTAAAATCTGGAGATTTGTTAATCAACGGGTTTGTAATTTTATTTATTTCATTAAACACTACTTCCCAAAATTGGTCTACCTTTTTGTAATACCACCAAAAGTGTTGAAAAGATCCCTTACACTTACAGCCTCTCCAACAGTGACAAAGTGGAGTCAAATACAATTTTTTGAGTATTTTTGAGGCAATTTTTGGAGTATTTTTGAGGCAATCTCAAAATCTCATGATTATTCCAATCATGTTCCCATGTCTCCCGCAGCCCTGCTGATGGTTCTTGATCTACCTCAATCAGCAACGAATGAAGTGTTGATGCTGCTCCTTTATTTGTTTCAGCTAGAGAGAGGAGAAGATTTTCAAAAAGTGAGGCACCTTGTGGCCTGTTTCAGAGTATTGGCCTATATTTTTCCTAGTTGGATGTACCCAGTACAGCAATTCCATTTCTATTTGAAGCAAAGGAGTTTGGCCTGGTCCTATGTCTAGCTGCATCATTATATGAAGCTGATAGGATTCATAATATGTGTGAAGTGATGGTATACCCTAACCTCCTTTAGAAATTGGACGGTAATGAAGGGATTTTGCTGAGCTGTTTTTTTTTTTCTATTAAAAATAAATGTTTCAATTCCTTTCTGCCACATCTTGAATGTGGCATCTTGAATTTTTAAAGGCAAGGCATAAAAGAGATATGTAAACCAGGGTAAAATCATCATCTTGGGGCAATTCGATTTGATAGTGATAAGTTATGTTTTTCCCATTTTTTCATTTCTAATTTGGATTTCTTCCAAATACCTACATAGTTGAATTTGAGAAGCTTGGTAGAACTTTTAGCTATGAAGACTTCTAAATATTTAAACCCTTTATTTGTGAGTGGGACTTTCAGCCTTTGTGACATTGAAATTTGATCGGGGGGGTTATATTGAAGCACATTAAATCAAATTCCCTAAAATTCACTTGAAGTCCTGCAGTCTTGAAAAATTTTTCTAATTCTTTTAGTATATGAGGGGTTGCTTCTATAGGATTCCTCAGCATCAATATAACATCATCAGCATACACTGTAAGCTGATGACATGAGTTGAATTCTTAATATGCATCCCCTGAATGTTCTCATTTGCCCTTATACATGAGGCTAAAAATTCAATCACCATAGTAAATAGAAGACGTGACAACAGGCATCCCTCTTTAGTCCCTCTCCAAACATAAAATTCTTTGGAGTCCTGATCATTAATACTGAGCCTTGAATGCATAAGAGAATAAACTGCATGTAATACTGATGTAAATTTAGGGCAAAATTTATATAATTGCAACGACTTAAGTAAAAATTTCCAACTAACACAATCAAAGATCTTATAGAAATCTAAAACTAATGCTAATGGAGGTTGCTTTTTTCCTTTCTTCCTTTTTTCCCCTGTAATTTATTTCAAATAATCTTCTAATCGGGTCTGCAATCTATCTTTTCAGAATAAAGCCAAATTGATCTTCATGTATCATTTGTCCAAGATACCTCTTAAGATGTTTTGCTATAACTGAAGCAAATAGTATGTGCTGAGAAGTGAAATTGGCCTATAAGACTCTATCAACATGGAGTCCTTTTGTGGCTTTAGTAATACCACCACTCTGGATTGGGTCCAAGTCTGTGGAAGTTGTGCCCCCCCCCCCGGATGGCATTGAAAACCCTTTGCAGATGCCAGAAGTTCACTAAAATGTTTATAGAAGGAACCAATATATCCATCAGGTCCTGGGGCCTTATTGGGTTTAATGTTTTTAATACCTTCCATCACCTCTTCTAGATTTTCAAAATTTTTCAAACTTTCTTCATCTAGGGGTTTCACCTTTATAAATACCTGGTATTGATTAATGTCATTAGAGTTAGAAGAGGGATCAGAATATTTGCTGTTGTTGTTTAGTCGTTAAGTCATGTCTGACTTCTTGTGACCCCATGGACCAGAGCACGCCAGGCCCTCCTGTCTTCCACTGCCTCCCGGAGTTTGGTCAAATTCATGTTGGTAGCTTCGATAACACTGTCCAACCATCTCATCCTCTGTCGTCTCCTTCTCCATTATATAGCTATTCATAAAAGTCTGTAAAAGCTTCCAGAATCTTTTGCGGATCTAGAAACCTTTCTCCATTCTTAATTATTATACCAGTGAGTCTAGTTTTTCTCTTCCCTATTTGCCAAATGTTTTGACCCTTTTCTGTCAAATTCATAACACTTTTGTTGAAAGTGCAACATCCCTATCATAGTTCTATCAATATCTATTGCTTTTAATTCTGCCCTTTTCCTATCTAGGATTAACCTCATTCATCGTGAACTACTCTCCTTATATTTTACCATTAAGGAAGTTATCTCTGATTCTAAATGGCTTATTTTTTCATTTCTCTTTCTTTTCATCTTTGACAATTCTTTTATACAAATGCCACAGAGTACAGCCTTCATAGCTTCCCATCTGGTGATATTGGAGATTGAGGGATCTGCATTATCCTTAAATTCCAAGCCTTTACGAATATTATGCTCATGTATTAGAGATGTTAACAATGATGAGCTGAATCTCTATATTCTGTCTTCCCTTTGTTGTTTACTTAGATTCAAAGTCACTTTTAAAGGTGTGTGGTCTGTCACTTTGATCATTCCTATTTTAGTTTCCATTACGTTATGCAACAAACCTTTTGTATCTAACCGAGAAAAGACTCCATGTGCCGCAAAACAGTAGGAGTGGCTGTCATCTCCCGGATTAAATTCCAACCAAACCTCATGAAAATCATATAAATTAAATATCTGTAGTATTTTAAAGTTAGATTTTCTATGCTGATTATACCTTTGTGAGATTAACCCCTGTGAAGGTTTTGAATTGTAAGTAACTTGAGGATCTAAACCTTGCATGTTCCAATTCAGGTTCCCTCCTATTATTACATCTTTATCAGTGAATTTTCTTATCTTCATAAGTAACTCGAGGATCTAAACCTTGCATGTTCCTATTCAGGTTCCCTCCTATTATAACATCTTTATCAGTAAATTTTCTTATCTTCCTAAATACCTTATGAAGAAAAGGGAGCTGACCTGTGTTGGGAGCATAAATTGTAGCTAGGGCAAGTGACTTAGTTCCATTAAAAGTGCCCTCTAAAAAAGGTATCTTCCTCTAGGGTTTTGAAGCTTCTTGCTCAATTTAAATTCTATGTCAGAATGAAGGAGTATAGCCACTCCTCTCCCTTTTGCTACCCCTTAGCAGCATATTTCCTTTTCCACTCATTCCCAGTGTTACGTGTTTCTTGAAGGAATAGTATTGATGGCTTGTGCTCTTTGATAACTCGATAAAGGCGTGCTTTTTTTTACTGGATCTCCGGCTCCCCAAACTTTTAAAGTCAGTGTAGTTAACTACATGTTTGGTTCCAAACAAAGACATTTGAATGAATGATTTCCCTGTATTCTATAGCTTGGAGATATATACTTTGCCACGTAGCCCCCCTTAAACCTCTCCCTTCCCTTCTCACCTCTCCCTGGCTGGCCATCAACTTATCAGTGAGATTTCCCCGCCAGCCTAAAACTCTCAGATCACCACCTTAAGACTACCCTCTTGTGGAGTCTTGCCTTGCGTTCCTACCTTCCACAAGGCACTGGTCAAATCCTATTTCTACCCTACTGCCTATATTTGGTGTGTGTATGGGGAGAAAGATTCTAAATTAATTGTTACAGTAATCTTTGTATGAACCCTCAGACCAAAATATAAGAGGGGTTCCATTTCCCCGTGATGTACTACTTTCCATATATTTAATATTATAAATTTAACATTATACCTATCCTTTAAGTATTAAATTAAAAAACTATATTTCTAAGTCTATTATAATGAGGAGCAATATGGAAATGTTCTTTTCATATTTCATTATTTCAGTTCATCTCTTCTTCACTTCTTGACCTGGCATTGTGTAGAATGTGTTGTGTTTGTGGTTCCCTTCCTGATGTCTCCGGCTGCCCTTGAATCTTGCAATTCTGATGCACGCTTGTCTGTACCTTTTCGCCTTCCTCAGCTGTATCCAAATGTTCCATGTCTGCGGGAAAGTTGGTCTTTAATTTCTGCAGGAGGTCCTGCTTGTTGGTAGCTGACAGGACAACCCCATCTGAGATGACTTGGAAAGGAAACCCCCATCTGTACTTCACTCCTTCTTCCTGTAGACGCTATGTGTAGGGACGGAATTCTTGCAGTGATTTTTTGTGTGTGATTTTTTTCCCTTCGGCCGGAACGGATTAATTGCATTTCAGTGCATTCCTATGGGGAATGGTGCTTCGACTTATGACCATTTCGAGTTACAACCGGAGTTCTGGAACCAATTAAGTTCGTAAGTTGAGGCATCACTGTATTTAAGGAAGAATCTGTAGCAGAGCAGATTCTTGTCACAGAAAGAACTCTGGATGCACAAAGAAAAACAGTCAAACAGTGAATCAGTGAACGCCACCTAAGATTTCCAGGAAAGGAACCACTAGAGAGTAATTTTATGTGGCAGTTACCACGATGTAAGTGTGAGTCCTGGTCTTAAGGAAGGAATACTTCCTGAGTGAGTATCAGAGAAGGCCAAAAGCAAGCCACAGTCAGAAGACCTGTGAGACTGAATTGAGAAAAAAGAAAGAAGCTCTGCCAGAAGGAGTTTGAAATTTGGAGGATGGGCTCATAAGATTCCTATTTCCTTATCTCTGTGTAGGAAGGAACAATCAAACAAAGGCAAGGAGCAGCTGCAAGTGAGAATTTTCATATGTAGTCCACATATGCTGCAGTTTTGTATAGGTATAGATGGATTCTTGTAGTAACAGCAGAGCCCCCAACAACAGGCCCCATCAACCATCTGGGTAGCCCTGCAAAAATAACCATGAAGATGGGGAGCTGTCAAAAGCATTGCTGAATGAGAATGTTATTTTTCCTAGGACCAGCCCTACTGATGATACCGAAAAGCAGGAGCTGGCTAGTTTCCCATAAAGAAAATGGGGGAAAAGGTGGCTCCCAAATTTACCTCATATCTTGGGAAGACCATAGAGATGCCTTTAAAAATTGACAACAGAAAACTAGAAACCTTCTCTGGGGGAGAAACCGCTTCCTCTACTCCCTTTCTAAATACCCATGTATCAGTCAGTTCTTACCTTTCTTCACAGTTTGCAATGGTTTCTGATCTGAGTTCATGTGATGCCGCTCTTGTTCTTTCGTCTTGGTTCCTAACAGTAAGACTGCAAGGTAAGACACAGGGTTTGAGCCAACTGAAATAAGGCAGTTTGTCGATGCTTTGAGTTTTCTTCCTAAGCTCCTATCCAGTTACTCCAGGATAACAGCACTGCTCTGAACTGACTATATTAAATACAGGCACCAAACTCAACCTCTTTAAACTGTTTTAGCTCATGTAAATGTTGAATGGCTGGATAGTTCCATGTTTTCGATATCTGGCTGTGGTGCCAGAGGTTGGGAGTTCAATTCCTCACTGTGCCTCCTGGGAAAAAAGTCATCCTGTGCAGTCATGGACAACCTGCAAAGCCCAAGGGGACCCACAGAAGAAGGGAATTGTGAACCACTTCTGAGTCTTCCCTACCTAGAAAATTCTGGAAAGGGACACCATATGTAGGAATTGACTTGATGGCACACTATTATTATTATTATTATTATTATTATTATTATTATTATTATTATTATTATTATTATTATTATTATTATTATTATTATTATTATTATTATTATTATTATTATTATTATTATTATTATTA